AGAAAGAAAGATAGATAGATAGAAAGAAAGGAAGGAAGATTGCATTCAAATTGACATTTATCGAAAATTTTCCTAATTACTGTGATCAACCTATGCCATACGCAGGAGACGAATGCCTATTTCGAAGATAATAATATAATCTAATATATCTTTATAATACCCAACTCCTTCGTATTTCGATAGAATTTATCGTGTAATCTACCATACTTTTAGAATATAGATATATATATTCTCTCTCTCGCTCTCTCGCTTTTTCAACCCAAACCTAAAAACCGATCGCGATAGACGAAAATTCAAGCTTTTCTTAAAAGGTTTATCGTCCATTTCCGTTTTAGGGTTTCTCTTAGGATGCATATTAATCTAATATGATTTTTTTATCTTTGAACTCTTTGCACCCTGTTATCAATTATTGAAATATAAATTGGCTCGGAAGTATTAGAGGATTTTTTAAAATCCCGCAAGTTCATGTTTTCATACTGGCTATTCTGAAAAAGCACAAAGTCATTTGACAAAGGTCATAAAATGGGTACGCCTTCTGATTTTCTTTCCTCTACTCTAGGAACTAACTTTGCCTCGAGTTAAACATTATTGTTGTGCGCTCAAATATACGAAAAATGAATGAATAAATATATAAATAAAGATTAATAATAATCGTACAAATACATGTTCTGAGGCAGGGAAACTGAGATTTGACAATACATTTAGCAGCACCAAGTTTTAAAAAGAAGTGAGGAAGGAATGATTTCCATTCGCGAAATTTTCCGTCAAAAAATACAAACCATACAGATCAAACTAAAAAACCTTTTCGCTAATAATACTCTTTGATCTTTTCCTCTGCTCCGATTTTTTCTTTTAGCTTCAATTTCTATCTTGTTCAGAAGATTAACTAAAAATTGCCTTCAAACTTTTTCATTCGATAAAATTAACGGTCTTCTGCACTTACCTCGAATAAAGAGCAGAAAAATTCATCAAGACTCAGTCACTTGGCGCCTTTTTAACTTCGTTTTAAGCGAATTTGTCAATAATAAAGTTAAGGCGACAATATGGCGATGAAGTATAACCTGTTCAATAGCTAGAGCTGGTTTGAATTATCGAGTAATAATGACTTAGCTAAGTAGCACTTCTGATCATGACTATAGATCAATTCCCTGATATCTTATTAAGCAAGTCACATATGTATTATGATGAATATGCAGCCTTAACCACCTGCAGTCAGTGTTTTGTTGTTCGTTGTTTCTTGTTGAAACAGGAATAGAAGACGCCAAAAATTAAGGCAATGAAAAGATATACAAATTAGGAAGCAAAAAATTTATGATTTGATTGATTATAAGCGTTGTCATTTAGATAAATATCAGTTTAAAAATATTTTATTTTATATTAATTTTTTATAAACTCAAATTCTCTTTTTTACTAGTTTAGTTTAATATGAAGTCGAATACCCTAATATATATTTTTCGAACATAATTATTAGGAGTTAGCAATATGCGAAAGAAGTAGTTTTAATTTGAATGAATATGAAGCCTCCAAACCGCGTATACGAAATAATTATTAAGTCACCCTTTTTGCAATTACAATAAAAAAATTTACGAGAAAGTGCTAGAGAAAGGTAAAAAATATATTTCAAAGTTCAAGTTCCTT